GCATATTTTATAGAGCCAAGAGACATGCTTTAGAGAGAGAATGAGACATTTTCTGGATAGAGAAAGAGGAACTTTTTCAGAGAGAAAGTGGGAGCTTTTAGATAGGGAAAGTGGGAGTTATTGAGAGAGTAGTTGTTCTTATTAGAGAGAAAAGAAAGCGACAATTTTTTAGACTTAAGAATGTAGTATGAACAATATTTAGATCTTTTATCTATCGCGTTTCATTTATGCTAAAATACTAAAAAAAATTTGGATATTTTATTATTTCAATTTTACCCTAATGTAATGTATATATCTTTAATATATATTTAATGTATGTACTTCTGAATTTTGTATTCTTATGATATACCTCGTATGTATGTATGAGATGTTAAATGTTAAGTCCATTTTCTGAGTTTCTTTTAGATAATCTTCTCCACCTCTTCTTATTTTATAAAAAATTTGAATTTTTATTTTTAAAACTCTTGTTATTCCCCTTAACATATATCGTAGTTTTATCAATATGACAGATCAAATGTAAATAAAAAAGATAGATTGTAGCAGGTAAAAGTATATCATAACTATATCAGAACAAGAGAATCATATCAAAAGTATATCAATAACATACATGAAACATATATCAGTGGTACATTAGCATAAGAACAGCAACATGTTAAGTATGAGAGGGAACTTCAAATTCAAAAATTACTGAATCATTATTGTCTTAATAAATAAGGGTGGAAAAACGTGATATTATCCACAAATTGACAAACATAAGATTAAATATACAGTTTTCTTTTTAATATATAATCAAACTCCTTGTCATATCTTTTTGGACATGCATGGTTCAGATCAACCTTGTTTGAATTAATTTTGGTTTTGTTTCTCCTGGTTTGCATCATTTATTTCAACATGGAACAAAATTAATCGACATATTAGTAAATCAATGGTAAATCAAATGTAATATTTCATAAAACATATTAATAAGGTAAATCAATAGTAAACCAAAGGTTAATCAATAGTAAATGATTGGTAAATCAATGAGGTAGATCATGACATACATAGTGTAGGTATATAAGAGATATATTAAAATTAGATAATCATATTAAAAGTATATATGAGACGTATATCAATAATATATCAACGCACCGATATCATAGTTATACGAATATGCTAAATCAAARAAAGTCAGATTAGCACATACATATTACAGATATACTAGAGTTATATCAAAATCAGATAACCATTTAAACTTTGTTTTCGACTTTAGAGTATATTTGCCACTTTATTATTTAGGCATTTGTTTTTTCTTTTAATATTTTTGCAATATTTACAAAACTTAAATGTTGAGGTTAAATGTACTATTTTCTTTAACTTTTTTTGGGTCATAATAGCAACTGTCCTAAAAATTTATACTTCTAAAAATTTTAGGGCCAATTGATAACTTGTTTCATTTTTTATGTTTGAAAATTATAAATATTTTTACTTATGTTTTGCTATCTACTTATTAAAAACGTTTTCAAAATCTAAATCAAAATTTGAAAATAAAAAAAAAAAAGTTGTTTTAAAAACTTATTATTATTATTAACTACTTTAACTAAGAATTGAAATGTATTTTTAAAAGTCAACAGGCTGTGAATAAACAAATAATATAACTTTAAAACAAAATTGTTATCCAACCAACGTTAGAATTTAACTTTTACAATTAGAACTTACATAATTATAACAATTGTTATAGTTAAAGTTTTTGTATAGAATTATCTCTTAAAATTCCGTAATGATCCTCAAAAAATGCATTACAACAGCAGAAATTCCTCGAAGCTGCGCCATATGAACTGAATGAATGCTGTTAGGCCCATTAATCCAAAGCCCAATCCAGTTGTAAACAAGGCTAAGGCAACCATTTTCCCAGATTTCTGGGCCTTAGATATTGAGGAACAAATCATACCCAAAAAAAAAAAAAAAGAAAAGAAAAGAAAGACAATATAGAGGCAAAATATGTCAGAATTCCATAGTTTCAAATTCATACAATTCTTGAAGAAAAAGAAAACATATGGAATAGAATTGGGAAATTTACAGAAAAATGTTGCAAATTTTAGAATGGAAACTGATGGTCCCATTTCCCATAACATGCAACATTGTTATTCCAACCACTTGTCAACTTCCTATTTTTATTACTTTTATTTTCATATTTTCTTCATCGCAAAATTACAAACTCAACAGCTCATTCTTCAATGTCTTATGTTATTAATTTTTGTTCCTATACCATTTTTCTTTTAAATACCACAGACAAAATTCTATATCCAACGCGACAATAAACAAAAAAATGAAATTTTTGAAAAAAGGAAAAAAGAAAAGAAAAGAAAAGAAAATAGTAATATTGTTTTTTTTTTTCTGTATTGTACTTTTTCCGAAGCTGATGATCACATGGATTGGGCTGACACATTGGACCACGTTTCAACTTCAACTCTTCTCTTCTCAAGCAGATGATTCCATTTCTCTTCCCATTTTCTCTCTCTACCCAAAAATGGATTTCTCTTTCTCTTCCCTTTCCCTTGAATCTTTCTTTCATTTTCATTTTCATTCTCTGTGCTCCTCATTTAATGAAATACTGATGATATCTAATGCAAAATCAATGCTTTATTAGCTAGGATTTGCATTTGGGGTCGAATGAATTGTTACTATGATGCATATGAGTACGAAATTTCAAAACAAAATGTTACATGTATCTTAGACTTTAAATTAAAGAAGACATTATTATGTTATTGTTATGACTGCGACGCACATGTGTCATGATCAAGTGGCTCACGTAGGTCCTATATGATATAGTAGACAATCATCCGCCATATGCCCCGTTTAAGTTGGAATGAAGATTTGAGTATAGTATGATTGTCTTGTAAATTTGTGGGACGTATTTAAGATAATGAATTTCAATATTACTACACATGTTTCCACACTGATTAGTGTCCTTATACATGCACTATAAACTCTAAAGTCTTAAACACAACTTTCTTTTTAACTCTCATTCTTAAATTTTCAAGGTTGATATTCTCACGTCTAAGATGTTTATTTTCTAAGATATTTCTTATTTGGTAGGCTTGTATACAATGAAAAATCGTGATAAGTCACTCGATCACTCGCCAATCTAGTGAAATTCATGAAGTAGTTCATATTATTAACTTTTGAGCATACGTGCCTTTCAGGTATAAATATCCATGATGCGTCACTAATCGGCCCACATTTTTCATTTTTTTTTAACATCCAAAGCTAAACATTAATCTAAAAAATGAAATGGGATTGAAAATAGAAGAGTAGGGTTGAAGGGATTTAATTAAAACAGCTTTTGCTAATTAGTTGTCTCTATGGATTTTGGTCCCCACCATCTCTCCCCTCTGTCCAAACTGCTCCAAAATTTTGGCACTTTCTATGATGAAATCAGAGAGGAGAAAACTATATCGAGTATAAGAGAGTATCTTCTTTCTTTCTGCTTCCACTTTTTTTGATGACAGAAAATTTAAGCAAAAACAGACACAAAAAAAGAAAAAAAAAAGAAAAAAGAGAGAGAAATATAATATTTGGAGCAATCCAATCCTGCCCCTCTCACGTGCACCTTATATACCCTCTTCCTTTTACATTACCCTTTTAACAATTTTTACACTTCTCTCTCAATCAAAATCTTCCCCTCTCATACATCTCTTCCCTAATTTCCTTTGAGCAAAACTATGAGTCTTGATGCTCTTTCTAATTCCAATGACTTGTTCAACTTCATCATCTTCGACACCATCGCCGCAACGCCAAGCAACGACTCCCACCGCCACCCCGACTCGTCGGAGAACAGCTTGATCTTCTCCGACGAGCGTTTGAAACCCAATTACGCTGTGTCGAGAAATAAACACCGCTCCTCCGTCGACGCTGAAGGCAGTGGCATTCAACAAGGGAAGAAGAAGAGGAAGAGAAAGCCTAAAGTTTGTAAGAACAAAGAGGAGGCTGAAACACAGAGAATGACACACATTGCCGTTGAGAGGAACCGCCGTAAACAGATGAATGAGCATCTTGCTGTCTTACGTTCCCTCATGCCTGAATCCTATGTTCAAAGGGTTTGTTTGTTTTTTGTTTTATTTTTTTCTCCCTCTCTTTCTTTAAGCATGTTTCATTAATTAATTAATGCATCACGTAATTTGAATTAAAGTTCATCACTCAGCAAATTAGATAGAGAGTTCAAGTTTTTTGGTGAATCTCCATTATGTTGCCTAAAAATGGAATTCAATTATTGATTAAGCAATGCCACCTTCTTCCATCCTATTTGGGGGGTTCAATTATTCATTTTGTGTGAAAGTTTCAATTTTGTCTCCCTTTTTCAAGTCGACACAACACAATTACCAAACATAAGACCAAAAATTCAAAAAATTACTGTTAAAAGTTGACCTCTTCTCCTAACCCTATTGATTATTGCATGTTACATTATAAATTTTACTGAGAGATTAGGGGTAATTAATAAAAATAGTCACCTTGGTTGAAAAAAGGGAAAGAAAGCTAAGAATCAACAGAAAGTTTAGTGCTTGGAATTGACAGATTCATAGGAATCAGAGTTTGCAAGGTCCTAAAATCATGATAGTATCCAATGCTAGATGCCATTTTCAACTGCATATAGTTTATTTTTATTAATTCAATATTATTATTAAATTATAAGTTTATCTATTTATTGCTTGAATTTCAAAAAGTTTTTAAGATGTCTAAACTTTCCTAGTTGGGTTTATTTAGTCTTCCTACAAAATTTCTGATATAAGTATTTTTTAACTTTTAAAATTGTGTCTAATTAAGTCATTGATGTTAATTCGTTTAATGTACATTTTAGGACCATGTGAATTTTGAATAATACAAACTAATGACGAATTTGTCATACACACAACGAAAAATTTGATCCTTTATTAGAAACTACAAAAGTTTAGGGACTGATTAGACAGAATTTGTTGTGTTCATGATTCAACGTTTGAAGGGTGACCAAGCATCCATAGTGGGTGGTGCCGTTGAGTTTGTGAAGGAATTGGAGCATCTGTTGTCAACACTAGAAGCGAAGAAGCTGGAAAGTTTGGAGAAAGAAATGCAAGAAGAGAATGAAGATTCAGTGAGAAGGAAGTTGTTTTCATCAGTTTCTTCAGGCGCATCATTTTCACAGTTGTTGATGCATTCAACGGATCAAAACTCGAGCAAGTTCACATCGAAATCGAGGGCTTCTTCGGCTGAGATTGAAGTCACTTTGATTGAAACTCATGCAAACCTCAGAATTCTGTCCAGAAGAAGCCATAGACAGCTCTTGAAGCTCATTGCTGGCTTGCAGGCCCTTCGCCTCACCATTCTTCACCTCAATCTCACCCACTTCCACCCTTTGGTTCTTTACTCCATTAGTCTCAAGGTAAATTATTTCCATCAATTTCTTGCTGTCCACCACTAAGTTTTTTACGGGTTTTGTCTTTGAAAGAAATAAAAAATCTCTTTTCAATATTGAAGAAATGAATGAAACATTGGAAATGCAGGTGGAAGAAGGATGCCAATTGAGATCAGTAGATGACATAGCAGCAGCAGCACATCATATGGTAAGAATAATTGAGGAAGAAGAAGGTGTCCTCCTGTGTTAAAATGTAACCAAAAGAAACCATCTTCAGAAAGCTACAAGCTAATTTGAAATGGAGGAATCAGCCATTACAGTGCCATGTTCTCTCTCTCTCTCTCTGTATTTGCTTCTTTTGATGAAATTTGTAAATTAATGTGTTCATGTGAGGTGATCGATATTGTTTTGTAGCTATCAAGGGGTTTGTCTTGTATGCTTTTTAGTTTCTTCTTTTCTTGAGACCACGAAAAAGGAGAGAGGGACAGATGAGAAGAAAAAATTGTCCATGACATTGGTTTGGGTGTCCATTCTTCTTCCTCTCCATTTTCCTCAACTTTTCACCACTTACTTAGCTAAGGGATTTCTTTCTTTTTTCTCACCCAAAATCCCAAATTTTGAGTAAATTTCTTTTTGGCAAAGTAACAAGTCAATGCCCAAAATTAGGCAATTGAAAAATTGGTTTATTTACAAACAAATTTTGTGAAAGATCATAGAGATCCCATGCCATGAGGGGTATCTCCAGGGAAGAGATTAACAATGTTTTTTTTTCAAGATGATGATGAGAGCAATCTCTCTGATTCTGTGTCTGTTGTGATATAGAGTAGGGGTACTGTGTGAGACAATTATTGGGAAAATGAAGTGACATGCATACTTCTTAGTATTGAACAGAGAAAAAGCTGCACCAAAAAGGGTTTGTTTAAATTGTGGTATTCGATGCACATATTTGTTTTTTATCATTTCCAGTTTCATCTCATCATCATCCTTTCCGGTTCATGTTTGGTTTCTTTATACACACCATTCTGTGTTCTCATTAATTATCCTGTCCTCTTCTCTACCAATATTATCCCTTCACTCCTTTCAATACTACTGTTTCTCTTATCTTTCACCCAGGGAAAACCAACATGCCAACAGGGTAAAAATTTGAGAGAGAGAGAGAGAGAGAGAGAGAGAGATCTTTATAATCTTTATATAAGTAATGCAAATTGCAAAGGCAGTCAAATAATTGATGGAGGGAAAAAAATACTGGTGCTTCAGACATAATCGTGACAGTTGAATGATAAAGGAAAAGCCATGGATGATTTTCACTAAAACCCGTAACCAACCATAAAGGGAAATCATTGAAAGCAGCTAAACACAGCACATGGTGTGGTGGGTGTATGTTCATTTCATAAATCTGTGGTGGTTTTCTTTCTCATAAAAACTACAAATCTTCCTGATTCTCTGTAGTAGATTTCAGACAGGACCGATTCCTCTGTGTTCTCTTCCGTGCCTTGTGAGAGAAAATCTTCCACTTGAAAATGATCTCTTCATTGAAACAGGACTCATCACACAATGCAAGATTCTTTTCCTATGACTTGACTTGCTGTCTTCTCCCACTGAATGTTTGGATGATCCAACATCACCTGAGCTTCCTGATTCATCAATAGCTCCAAATCCATCTTCATTCAACTGTAGAATGTCGGCAATTATGGTGTGGTTTTGGCAGCAATGATCCATTGAAATGGACCTTCTAATTTGCTGCAATCTTCCATCTCTAAGCTCAATGACAGTATCTCTTTTCTCCAGATTTCCGAGGTCACTTAAAGCGCGAAATGAGTTCTTTGCACAATTATGGGCTTGCATTAGGTCATCATTCCCAAAACTTCTTCCAGAATCTTGTGAAACAGCATCATGGTCAGTTGTATGAGAAGTCTCTGGCATGGCCTCACTAGTTATGGGAACTGCTGTGCTTGGAGGCAGTTGAAATGGAGAAGAAGCACTGAAAGAGACGATATAAGCACGACATAGCGGGCAATTGGAGTGCGATTTGAACCATGTATCAATGCATTGAAGATGGAAAGCATGGCTGCATTTGGGCAACAGCCTAAGGCTCTCATCTTCTTGAAACTCACTCAGGCAAACAGCGCAGTCAGAGCCTTCAACCAACCCATCTCCTCTCTTGTACTTGCAAACCGTAATGGACTTGATCAATGCCTCATCCAAGCCAGTTGTCGCGATGTGCCACGGCTCGTGAAGAGTGGGGTTGTGATTGTCTTCAAATTCCTCATTCGGGTCATGATTTCCAGTCCTAGACAAGCGATTTGTGTTGCCACAATACTTTGAAATTATGGTGTAATAGCTTACAAGAAGGAAAGCACTTGCCAGAATTCCAATAATTGCAATGACAAGAGGAGAAAAATTTGGGCCTGAATCATCATCTGGAAACTCTAAGGGTGGTGGAGGTGAAAACATGATGTAACACCACTGAGGACAATATACACTACAGAAACCTTGAGAGCAATCTTTGTTGCTCATATATGGAATCCAAGTTTTAGGGCTGCCATAAGACCCCATCACTGTTCTAAGAGAATCAAGAGAAGATTAATATAATCAATACCCCAAATACCAGAAAAGAATCGTTTTTTCCTAGTCCCTTCCCACACAACAGGTGAGATTTCCAAAGAAACGGGTGATTTCTAGCTAATTGAACAAATCATACAGTAAACTGGATCACATACTTCCTTAGAAGTCAGAAATTGTTCGGTGCAGCATTTTTTCAAATACTTTGAGGACGGAAACAATACAAAAAGATGTTTTGGAGTAATATCGAATGAAAAAGAAAAGGGGGAAAAAAAACACAATATCACCTGAAAATCGCACCGCACCCCAATTGAAAGGCCTCAAACACTGATGGAAACAAATAAGCAGAGCACAAAATTAGCCACTTGAACTCCAAGATAGTGGGTAATGGAAAAATGTGCCTGAAGGAAGAAAGATGGGGGAAGTGGTAAAGAAGGCAATTAAAAGCAGAGAAGAGGAACTGGGGCTGGGGATGGGGAGAAGCAAGAAGGGATGTTAATGGGTAATGTTGATCAGTATCTCTCTTTTTCTTTTTCTTGTTCTTGTTCTTCATTTCATTATCTTTTCCTTTTTCTTCTGGCCCTGCTTTTGGGAAAAACAGTTTGTTGACTAAGGTGATGATGGTATTGCTGGTGGGGGAATTTATTAAAGTAATCAATGCTTTTAGGTATGGTTGAAGCTCAGTTTCAGTTTCAGTGGAAGTGAGGACTTTTGGGCATGGGACTCCTCCAGCCTCCACCTTTTTAGACTGAACAAAGCATTCATAAATCAATACCCACCAAAAAAAAAAAAAAGTATCGGCTAAGTTATTGCTCAGTAATTTTGGCCGTCAAAGTTGCTAAACCACACTATATCCAAAACGCCCAAAGATCGTGACACCATATAACTCCTATGAATGAAATCGATATTTTTTTGGTACAACATGTGAGGATGAACAATCGAAATCACAACCTCTTGATTGGAAATATATGTCAATTACTGCTAAACTATAATTTTCGCAATGAAATCGTTCTGTGCCCAATTTTTCTTCTATTTAACAAAATTGTTTTTAAATGGGACCTTAAAATCAAACTGATAACTCAACCTTTAATTTAAAGTTGAGAATGCAACCAAAGTCTCATGTCCTCAAGGTAAGAAGGAAAACATGGATATATACAATTGGAGGACAAACATCTCTGTTGATGCGTGAATTATGCCCTTTCAACTTCATTGTTGGAGGCATGGAAACTAAATCGCAGTGCAGAATCTCTCCTTATCTGGGGAGACTAATAGAAGTCCTGCTCCGCATCCCCGAAAATTTGATGATCCATCTACGTAAAGCGCCCAAGGTTGTTCTCCCTCAACTAGCTGTCTGTTGATGTTGCATATCTGAGGTTCCACTCATGTCAATTCGGCTATGAAGTCTGCCATGGTCTGTCCTTTAATGGTAGCTCTTGGCTTATAGTGAATGTCGTACTCACTGAGCTCCACAACCCATTTCATCAGTTGTCCTAAATTGTCTAGCCTCTGCAAAATTTGTCGTAAACGGAAAATTGGTGAGGACAGTTATCTCGTGGGCTTGGAAATATGGACGTAGTCTCCGAGCTGAAGTAACTAGGGCTAATGCCAACTTCTCAATTTGTGAGTATCTAAGCTCTGCGTCTACCATTGCTTTATTTTTGTAGTAAATTTGAAATTGTCGTCCATCTTCTTCTTTTATCAACGCGGAACTCACTGCAGTGTCGGATACGACTAAGTGGGGTTGTCCCTAGATATTGCTTTAGCTCTTTAAAGGCAGCTTCACACTCTTCTGTCCATTCAAATTGTTATTTCTTCCTTAGGATTTTGAAGAACGGCAAGCACTTGTCAGTTGAGCGGCTAACAAATCTGTTGAGTGTCGTTATCCTTCTGTTGAGTCCTTGTAGTTGCTTTAGGTTCTTGGGTGGATCCATATGCAAACGGCTTTAATTTTATCCGAGTTGGCTTCGATATAATTCTAGGAACTTGCCAGAGGTTACCTCGAATTTGCACTTAGTAGGATTCAGCTTCATCTTGTACTTTCTCAAAATGTCAAATGCCTCTGCCAAATCCTCCTCATGTCGCTTGTTTTTTTGACTCTCTACTAGCATATCATCCATGTAGACTTCCATATTTTTACCGATTAATGCTGCAAACATCCGCTTTACCATGCGTTGATATGTTCCACCTGCATTCTTCAATCCAAACGGCATCACCGTGTAGCAAAACAAACCTCGGCTTGTGACAAATGAGGTTTTCTCCTGATCCGGTAAATGCATATTGATTTTATTATACCCGGAGTAGGCGTCCATGAAGCTTAATCTTTGATGACCCGCAGTGGCATCGACAAGTTGGTCTATTCGCGATAAGGGGAAGGAATCCTTTGGACATGTCTTATTTAGGTCTGTGAAGTCGATGCACATTCTCCACCGTTTGACTTTTTTACTAGCACTACGTTGGATATCCACTAGGGTTGATGTACTTCACAAATGAAGCCTGCTTTCAGTAGCTCTTCCACTTGTTAAGCTACAATCTCATTCCTTTCTTGGTTGAATGCACGTCGCTTCTGCTTGACTGGCTTACTGCTCTCATTGACTTTGAGTCGGTGTACTATGATTCCTCGATCAATTCCTGGCATGTCCTCATGTGACCATGCGAACACGTCAGCATTGCTTCTAAGGAAGTTTATAAGACTTTCCCTTTCCTCATCCCCCAATCTGGTTCCGATGTTAACTCGTCGATCATCGGCTGTCAGAGGAACAGATTCTACCTCCTCAGTCGGTTCTCCCTTGTTGGGGATGGTCAGATCGAGTCGATACTAGGGCTCGGACTTGCCTCACCCGAGTGATCTGCCGGATTAAGTCGATGATCTGGGCTCGGACTTACTTTTCTCGAGTGTTCAATAGCTCCGGTCTGGACCTTCTTTTCAGAATGTTGTCAGCCTTCACCTAGGTTCGCGTCGCGTTGACCTGGACCTTCTTTTCAGAATGTTGTCAGCCTTCACCTAGGTTCGCGTCGCGTTGACCTGCTCCATTCTGCCATTTTCTAATCTGGGGTTTGTCTCGGTAGATCTAGGTCTCGACTTGACAGATCTGGGTTTCACCTCGGCAAATATGGTTTTCGTCTCGACACGACAAATATGCGTTTCGGCTGGACAAATCTGAGTTTCACCTTAGTAGATCTAGGTTTCGCCTCGGCAGTTCTGGGTTAAATTTGCTTGGACTGTGTCGTCCCCACAGATGGCGCCAAATGTTGATGCGTGAATATACCCTTCCGGTTCCCTTCGAGATTCGCACCAAACTTGATAAGAAGGGGACAAAGAACCTACAAAACCAATCAAACCTAAACCGATATAACTCCAGTCACACGGGATCCGATGCCTAAGTTAACAAGGAGAGTGGAAGGATCTAGAATTTGAGTCTCAAGAGTCGGCTCTCTTACCTTTAGGGTTCCGTCCATCTTATAGCAGTCCCATGTGAATCCTCCTAGATTTTAGACCCGTTGCGTGTGTAATTGCGAAACAGGAGGTATCGCGAAATGGTCGGGTGAGCCGTTACAGTTCTCGGCCGGGGGCCGAGAACCGAGGCGCTTGGTCGGCTAAGGTCGACCAGGGTTGGCCCAAGTTGTCGTTTTCCGGCTCTCACTTGGCCCGTGTGCTTCTTTCCCGGTCTAATCATTACTTTTGTTCCCTATAACGATCTCTATATTAGTATTAGGTATTCTTAGATGAAACTAAAGACAACTTCATTATTCCTCTAACGGAAAGTAAACAATATCGAACCATTGTAGAAATAGGGAGGTGTCGTTTAGCCTAACAAATAATCCATTAAACAACTTTGAATTTCTTGTTTCTTGTAAAGTTTACTAAAATCAACAGGTTGAAGGAGTAGAAAGATTGGGTAGACACGATATGGTATAACTTTCAAAGTTGTGAAACAAAATATTTCATTATAATAATGTGGAGAGAACCTTATGACTTAGCTGGAAAGAAAACTTTGATATAAAATTTGTGTGTTCCACAGTAACCAAAGGCCATTTTGTGGACCTTAGAAAATCTCCTTTCATGGTGGCGTTAGAGAGAGGAGAATATATTCACCCAATACACCAAGTGAGAGCAGCATCTTTTACTTCTCTACCAAGCTAAGATACCACAAATAATTTGATTTACATTGTAAACCTAATGTCTTGCAAAATAAAGTATATGTTATTTTAGAGATAATCACATGACAAATCACACTCGTATGATTGGTAACATCTTATAGTTAATAATCAACATATTTTGGAATGCTTTTCAGAGAGAGTTGAGAGTGGATTAAGTGTTAATTAGTAAAGTATTAAGGGAGAATATTTGGAGGGGTGTAGGGAAGGGAAAGTGGTTTAATTATGACCGTCAAAGCAAAGGAAGGAGTGTGAGTATTTTGGAGGGTCAAAAATTACTTTTTGACGAGAGAGAAAAGAAAAAAAAAAGAGTTTAAGGAGAATAAATGGGAGTTAATGGGGTGTTTAATTAATTAATTAGCTTATTCTTCAATTTTTTTCTCTTTGAATCTTGGACCATTTTCTAACCTTTTCTTTTTGACTTTTCGGACAGAGAGAGAGAGATTCTACTTGTATGATTCTTTGAGAGTGTCCATAATAAAGGAACATTTGATATACCAAAATGAATGGAGGGAAATGAGCATTCTAAGTTTTTTTTTTCATTTATTAATTTTTTGGTTTGTTCTTTTTCCCCATATCTCCTCATTTCAAGAGATAGGCTTTGATCAAAATCATTCATTATTCTAAGATTCACTTTTTTTTTTCATGGATTGAATTTTAGGTTGAATTAGAGTTTTTTTTAATCCAACACAATTATTTAAGTTGTAAATGTGTAGAATTGGACCTTAACTCAACTCAACTAATGAATTTTTTAGATTGAATTGCTTCGAGTTATTTGAGTATTTTATCCATAAGATGAAATTGTTAGTTAACAAATATCTATTTACTTATTTTCAAACATGGAATTAAAATTAGTATTTTATCAATAAAAAATCATCCTCCAAAGACTTAAAAAAAGATTTTCCTAACATTATTGGAGATGCCCAAAGAGGCACTTCACTAACAAAGCAAAAGCATGGAACCGGCTTTGTGGTATTACCTATCATCTCGTGTTAAAATCTTTGGAGGAGTTTAATATTAAATTTTTTTTAATGTTTTTCGAGTTCAAGTTTTGAAGCGGGCACGAGTGACCTTAGTTATAGAGGTAAGAAGTTAAAAAAAAAAAAAAACTATCAATTTCGAGTTATCGAAAAAAAAGACATTGTTGGAGAGGGAAAAAAAGTCTAACTTTGGAGGATGATTTACATTAGGAAGAGACATTTTTGTTTCAACTATTATTTATTTTTCTCATGCTAATATCATCTAAAAATGATCATTAAAAAATTATTTGTGAAGAAAAATTCTTAGGATGAACAAAGAAATGAATAAATATACACAAGTGACAACACCAAGACCTATGGAAATTTTATGTGGGAGGAGAGAAAAATTACTTATTTCTTTCCCTTTTTAAATAAATACATGTTAAAAGAACTCATGGGCCGATAGAATTAATAAGGAAAGTATTGTCTATGAATAATATAGTAGAGTAAGAGAACCTAAAACTATATTCTTAGGGTTAAAATATATATTTGGTATTTGAACTTTTATTAAATACACATTATTTTGAAAATGTAACAATTTAATCTTTAAATTTTCAAGAGTAATTATTTAGTCTATATACTCTAAAATGATGATTATTTTTTAAATTTTTGAATACAACATGCACGGCATTCTCCGATTTGACTGCAAACAAAAATCATTTTGTGTTGGGTGAAATTACTTAACGAAGAAGAAAAGTAGCTTTGGGCCTTAGTTGTTTTCTCGGCCCAATAACTGAAGTTTGCATATTTTTGTTATTTTGACTTGGGGCTCCGTTCTGTCGACAACGCGGCCGATGGTCTCTCAATCTGTGTCTCCCCTTACATTGGTTGGTACAATGGATTGAAGAATGAAGATCGTCAAATTTCTATCTCGTGCGAATCCAATCGGCGAGGATGGTATCGTACCGGCCGATTCGGGTCTCTAATATGAATATCGTAAGGTTGTTCGCCGGCTGATTCTACAGTATAAACCACAAGTGTTCGAGACAACACCCATTTTCCTATTTATAACCAAACTTCCCCATTTAACTTAATTTATGGTCAATTTTAAAGAAATAATACTTCTAATCTGCAACAATCAAATCTTATTCAACCTTATTTCATGTCATCAACATTGTAATCTTATTTCCTCACATGTTTATTATAATTACTTTACAACTTTTACTCTTTCTCACTCATCTATTAATTAGACTATCATGTCAATTTTTAATTATTTATTATTTATTAATATTAAAATAATTTTTGTAATTACCATCAACAATGTAGTAACAAATTAAATTAAAATTTATCATTGTTGCAATTAAGAAAAGATTAGCATCAATAATTAATATATTTGTAATTAGCTAGAAAGAATAAAATGATACATTAGTAATTGTTATATCTAATTTCAATTCTGATTTCGATTTCAAAAAATTTCTGGTAAATAACATTAATGAAATATTCTCGTTACGATTCTTAGCAAGTAAAAGGGAGCTTATTTTCTAAAAATTATTTGATGAGATCAAGTACAAGATTTCTTAACCAAATACTTTTAAATCGTTACTTTAATAAGAAGGAGTTGAAAGCATTTTAACCATACATATATATATACTAGTGTATTACCACGTGCAATGCACGTATAAATTTTTTTTAATTATAAGATAACTTAAATTTTATATAATTTCACGTAAAATATTTTAAGTATAATTATTTTAAAAAATAATTAAGATTAATTTTTATATATATTTATTATTATTGACAGCTAATTACTAATAATAAAATGTACTATTTATAATTATTTTTAAAATATATTATTTATAGTTAATTGTTAATGATATATTTTGTAAATAAATAAATTAAAAGTAAAGGAAAAAATTATATATTAATAAAAAAAGTAAATAGGTATTTTAATATTTTTATTTTTAAATTATTTCAACGGGTCCTTTATTTTATTTTTTTTAATATTTTGTTTGTTTATTAAATATTTGTTTAGGACTGACATTTTGTTGTATATGTTGAATTTTTTAACTAAAACTAAATTATTTTATTGATTTAATTTTATATTATAATTAAAATTATTAAAGAAAAATTCTTTAATTTTATATATATATCAAAACTTGTTTATTAGCTAGCATACACTAAGTCCCAGCTAGCAGTGGTAACAGAAGAGATAAAACAAAAAAGGTAAACATTTACCACTCCTCCATCTTCTTCTACACTCCCTCACCAAATCCAAACAAAATATGGCACTCAACAAAAACATAATCGGCGGCATAAACTTGGTGGCGATGCTTCTTTCGGTGCCCATCATCGGCGCCGGAATCTGGCTGGCGACCCAGCCGGACAACGCCTGCCTCCAGATTCTGCAATGGCCACTCATCATTTTTGGCGTGGCGGTGCTCCTGGTGGGCGTGGCGGGCTTCATAGGAGCCTTCTGCCGGATCACCTGGCTCCTCCTCCTCTACCTGGTCGCAATGCTCGTCCTCATACTGCTGCTCGGTTCCCTCGTGGGGTTCGTGTACATGGTCACCCTCAGAGGCTCCGGCCATCTCCAGCCCAATAGGGCTTACTTGGAGTATCACCTGGACGACTTCTCCGCCTTCCTCCGCCGCAGAGTTCAGAGCTCCTTCAAGTGGGACCTCATCCGAACCTGCTTGAGCTCCTCCACCATGTGTGCTGAGTTGAACCAGAGCTTCCGCATGGCTCAGGATTTTTTCAATGCCCCCATTACCCCTATGCAGGTATATCCAAAACCCAAATTTTTCTCTTCATCGTTTCTTCTAAATCCTCCCCAACATTATATTCTCTCTTCTCTGACCTTTTGGATTTGTGTCGGCTATCTGATCCTGTATACTTTACAAACTTCTAATGACTTGGTTCATTAACTTCTAATTTTATAATACGACGTTTATCTTAACATTTACCAACTATTTTAAAGATTAGCCACGAGTTGATTGCTAGGCTTGTGTTTATGTGTTAAGCATATATAGCGACTCAGGACAATGTAAAAGATAAAAGAAAAATAAATACTTAGGCTAAATAAATACTTAGCTTTTCTCACAGGTGAGTACCAAATTTGTTCTACCCATCATTAAACTTTTAAATAGAAATGCAAAAATAGTATTCTTTTAAAAACTAATTAATGGTTAAATTTTTAATGTGGAGAGGACAAAATTGGTTCTCATTCGTGGGAAGTAAAATAATTTTCAAAAGATACTTATATGCATGTTTGTTTTAGGTGTTTATCAATTCGTAGGTATTTTCCTACTTAACACCTATTTAATTATTCTCAATATCTATAGAAGTTCATCTCAAAATCAATTTACAATTAGAGTAGTAACCTATTATATAATCTTAACATGTCTAAAGATAGTGACAATTTTAGGCTTAGCAAGATGTTCGTTCTAGTTCATACCATCTTCATATTTATAGGATTTCATCTTAAAATCAATTGGTAATGAGAGGATCAGCAACTTATGTATATTATTTGAATGATAATAGTATATAGTCGATGCGAATTATATCTCTATGGATCATATAAGACTTTCAGGATGATTCTAAAAGCAAACCTATGAGGATTTATAATAAAAAATATATATATTTTCTCTCTGTTCTTTTATGCATCATCTTGTGAGCTCTCGATTTTTTTCTACCATGAATAAGTATCTAAATATTATTGTTATTTAACAGTCAGGATGCTGCAAGCCGCCGACGTTGTGCGGGTACACATTTGTGAACCCAACGTACTGGATAATGCCCATAAACAATGCGGCGGACATGGACTGCCTCAAATGGAACAACGACCAAACCCAGCTCTGCTACAGCTGCGACTCCTGCAAGGCCGGCCTACTCCAGAGCTTGAAGAATCAATGGAGGACGGCTGATATAGTGCTCCTCTTGGCCCTCGTCGCCCTCATTTCTGTCTACATAATTGCCTGCTGCGCCTTTAGGAATGCCAAAACTGAGACACTCTTTGACAAATACAAGCAAGGCCAACCCACCTATGTGTAGCTTTTTCTTTTCTTTTTGTGTGTTGGTTTTGTTTCAAACGCTTTAATTCATACCACAATGGGGATATTTCAAATGATGTTTGTTTGACAAGATTTGAAAATGGAATTAGAATGATCAAGGCCTCAACTTAAGTCTGTTGGTAGTTTTAATATCTTTGGATGCACGAGAGAGAAAATACGACAACATTGAAAGTAATTTAAAGATTTATTAAAGCTATTTGGGTATGAAAATTCGAATTTATTGGTGTGGGTTGTTTTGGGGAATTTATTGATTGAGGTTGAAATTTGGGGAAAGGAGGACATGATTTCAGGAAGTAGCACCGAAAGCTGATCATTGCTTTTGAAAAATGGTGACAATATTATGGAATCACAAGGTTACTTTTAGGAGCTCTGTAGGGTTTTATTGGGCTTTGTAATTTTTTGTCTCATTCCTACTATAACCATACACGTTCTTCCCACAATTATTAACGCTTCTCGTCAATTAATTAAAACCTGATCATGCTAATTACAAATTTACAATTACTAAAGCAAAGTTTGAATTTTTTTAATTAATTATATTCAAAATGGTCTTTATTATGTGATATACTACGTACGTGAAAGGATATAATTTAAAAGTTTGAATTGTAATATTTTAATGAAAAAAATTATAAATGCTAAAAAGAATAAGGAAGAGAAAGAAACGTTGGGTAAAGAAAGGGCAAAATTTAAAATATTTATATAATTAATTAGAGCCAGATATTAACTCATAAGTGGGTGGAGTCCGAAATTGGGCTCTTACCAATGGACCAAACTGAAAAGAGAATGTGAAGATGAGGTCCAGCATGGGCCCTGTTTCAGCCCATTTCAATGTGTTCTCTTAATGGATGCATGCCGTCTCGGGAAGAACTCATTAGTCATCAATTTTAACATCAGAAATTAATAAAGCGAAGGGAGAAATTTAGCCTACAGCTAAATAATGCTCAAACTAATAATTATAACAGGAACATGTTGACGAGTATGGCTTAACTAATTAAGATTTATCTTCGATCATAATAGTCATGAGTTTGAATTCCTGTCTCGACGCATTGTATTAAAAAAGATAGAAAATAATCCTCCGAACTGAACATTGTTCAATAATTAAAGTAAATATATTATATATCTGACTCTACATTTATTAAACCCGCAGGATTGATGGAGAAATGATGATGATTTGACATTCTGATGCATTGGGGATGGAAATTTGTAAGGGATTTGCATAAAAATGATATAAAATTGTGGAAATTTGACAATTTTAATAAATTGACGTATGGAACAGACGTGTCGTAATGTGCACCGTCTGTACCTTGAGATTCCGAATTTGATTGGTCTCTACACTGACTATACCACAATTTGATGTCTAAAATATCTTTCTAATTTTTGTTCTGTCTAATGTCTACGCACTCAGTTTAAACGTCCCACCAAAAATCCATGTACGTTACCCTTGCATCACTTGCATGCGAAATTAATTTTATTTTTTTTTTCTTCTTCCACCATATTAATTTGTAGAATAAATTACATTAATTTCTATGCTCCAATTGCGTTCGAATGGCGTGGCTGAATTTAAACTTCACAGATCGTTATTAATATCTTTTAATTAGTCCATTCGAAAATATTCATTGATTCTTCTCTATTTTTTACTTAAATCTCTAATCGCTAGTACAAATAGCTACCTAATCAACTTAATTAGAAAATATTGGTTCATTATCATGTAAATTATCATGTAAATAAAATTGTGTCTTGTATTCAATGATTTATAATATAAGTGAGCTAGCCTCATGAGTATTGTCAAAACTAAAAAGTGAAATGGACATTAATTGAAAGGAACCGTAGTTTCCATGCAATTCGCTACCATAAATGACACTTTCCACGTTATCCTGATCTTCAAGTGAGAGACCACGATTGTGCTGGAAGAAGTACAACAAAGGCTTTAGCTTTACGTACGTCACTCAATAAGTTTTTTTCTTCCCTCACTTTTTTAATTTGTATATTGACCCTTATGTAATAATTTAATGTCTTCCACTCTCCCCTTCTCTTTCCTTCCGTTCCTAATATTTTCTCTTTTTCTTGTTTTGGCTTCATTTACTCCCAAAATGGGCCCCTCATAGTTATCAAGTTAAATAAAAATGCTTCCAGTTCTTTCTCCGACCCTCGCAAATCGATTTCTCATCAAAATTCACCCTCAAACTTCCCCTTTAAATGAAGGGAGTGAGAGATTTTTCCTTGTTGTTTGAGCATACCTTGGGAGTACTGGTTGTTCTTACAAGGAAGGGAGTGAGAGATTATTCCTTGGAAACAAATTAAATGTGTGTACATACGTAGACATCAATTTCATGTTTATATATATGTATAAATTATGAGAGCAGGTAACATGTAGGTGACCAGAAACAAGACCGACCAATAAAAATATGCCAAATAATGAGTTGGGATGCTGAATAATTTGAAAGTGAAAGTGGTAGGGCCCGGCTTGGTGTGTGCATGATAGGTGCTGCTGCTGTCTGTTTTCTTTAATTTCATATAGTGAACCAAAGTTTTAGTAAACTCATGACATCATTGCTTAGGAAACTCAAATTTAAGGGAAGAAATAATTACATACAAATTAAAATGTAGGGTCTACATCTTCTTAATTCTAAACTCCAAACTCCTATATGTTCAAATTGGCCTATATATTAATTATTTAAACTTTATCATCATGTTTATTCAATCAATCAATTTAATTACTAATTCTTGAGGGGTCAAATGAAAAGGTGAGACTTTTTAAACTTCGGAGGTGTTAATCAAAATTTAATTAAGGGAAGCTTTCGGCTTTCAATTTGAGAGATGAAGAAATGAGAGGAAAAAGGCAAAGGCAAAGGGATGGTTGGAATTGTTCTAAATGTAAATGGGTTGAGTGGAAGGAGGACCAAGGAGGTGTTAAATCCCTACTTTTTTGGAATTCTATGTGCCTTTTCCAATTTTCCTATATTTCTAAATCTGATAAATGTAACTAAATACGAAACCCTCACTATAAATTATATCTTTATTTTGAATTGACACTTCCCATATCCTTGAAATCATATTTAACCACCTATTACTACAATTGGAATAAACGTCTTAAAGAAATTTGGAACAATGTTGAGCCAGAAGGTTAATGGTATAGATTAGATAGTAAATTCGATACTTCTACGATATTTCATAAGAAGAAAGAAAAATATTTTACATATTTGGAAAAAAAAAATGGTGTAAAGGGAATCTCCACGGTGGTGGTGGGCCCACACCACGCGGATAGGCGTAGGCGCATCATCCACCCAGTCATCCTCCACATCTGATTCTTACACGTGTAACACACAAACTGACACTCCTCAGAAACATTCAGCAAATTCCTAGAGCCTTCGTTGACACGTGTCCCCCTTTCTGTCCACTAAACGCCCCCCTCCCACCCCCACAACATCAACTAATCTTCTACGTGTCCACTCCTCTTGTTTGTTTTTTTTATTTTCCAACCCTAATTTTAATTAATGCGAAACTAGGGTATAACTTAAAAGCATACAATAGTAAAAGTAATAATAATCGACATTAAAAATGGAACACGTGGGAAGTCACGTGTAAAGGAAATGAACCACCACGTAAATGTCGTGAGCCTCGGCACGCATTATGAGGGTCGAATTTCAGTCAAAGATGAATCTTTTAACGCCAGATGGTAAAAAAAAAAAAACAAAAAGCAAAAAAGAAAAAACTAAAAAGGGTATTACCGACTTATCGTGTTGTGGTGGTGTGATTACGACACACCGTTCTCGCTACTTCCACCCGCACGCACACCTCATCGACATCCACTCTTGTCTTCTCAATCACCACTGAACGGCATCATCGGTATTGATCAACTGGGAGATAATCCCACCGTTGATCGAATGCCACGTGGTAAAACCAAAACCAAAATATTAAAAAACGAAAACGAAACCCCTTTTGGCTAAGGAACCGCCTTTTCCGAAACTCGGCACAGAAAACCAATATAAAAAACTCCTTTCTCTTTGTGGGCGGCTGACCTACTTTTACAATCTCGGGAATCCAGACGCCTACCTTTCCACCCACCTCTAATATTTCGACGCGTGGACATACGCACAATTCACCAACTAGAACCGAACCCACACGAACACCCCGCCCCTATAAACGGAAAATAATCGAATATATATATATTTTTTTTACCATTTCTCATCTTCCCTAGAATTATACTCAAATATACAAGGGCCAAGGGATACCGTATGATGTAAAAAATGAACACAATATATATAAATATATATATTTTTATTTCATTCCTTGTATAAACATTCCTAAAAGTACAACCAGAGAAAGAAAATATGAAAAAGAAAAAATAGGAAAAAGGAAACAATATTCACATCTATAGCCCAAAACTCACGTATAATTCATCACTTTCTAACAAGGCAGCGTCGTCATAATTTCCTTTTCCTTTGTATAGAACACTAGTCAAATTTATTTTTTTGCTCCCAAGTCCACCACCTTTGTCGTATTTCCACGGTCTCCCCAATTTTTTCATTTCCTTCTTCGTCTTCCCCGTTCTGTATTTACAGTAAAACTTGAAAGCTAAAGGTAAAGGTAAAGCTAAGCTCCTCCTTGTCACCAACCTCCAGTAAAAATGGTCTTCAGGGCATTGGGAGGAGAGGGGGGAGCATTCGAAGAGTACATTATCTTCATCTTCTGTATAAAATTAGGGAAGTATGGTATGGCGGTAATTAAGTAAAAAGTTTAGGGGGCTTGCTTTTGATTTTTCAATATTCGATGATGAGTCCTCCCATTGGGGCTCTGTGGGGAATTCCCTTTCTTCGCTTGGCCGTTCTGTAATTAACCAAAGTCGGGGGTGGCGTTGACGGCGTGAAGCTCTGCACCACTTTGTTCTTGTTGTTCTTATTCATCGATTTCCCTTGGCTGCTGCTGCTGTATGAAGAATCCTCCGAATCCGACCCCGTCATCCGCCGCTTCTTCACGAAATTCTTCGACGTTCCAACAATCTGAACAGGACCAAACAAAACCCCCAAATCAATTTCAACTCTCATCCAACATATTATACTAATGGGCATTAACTCAGGTGGGTATGAACTATGAAGAAGTACGAACCAAACAGAAACTGTACATTGAGGAAGGGATGAATGGATGAATTAGAATTACCTTGCAACCCAGAGAGCAGAAGCGGAAGGAATCGAGGAGGCTGCGCTCGCAGACCTCGCAGGTGTTGGTGACGCCTTTCCCGGGCCTCGGCTGCGGCCGCTCGTTCAAGAACACTACTCTGGCGCTGTTGATAATGTAGGTTTGAACGCCGGTGATGTCCAGAACCTTCTGAATCTCCGATACCCTAATGACGTCGTGGTACGACGACCTTCGAATCTGAAAACAATCGGAAAAAACAGAGCAAACCCATTAGCAACCTCGACGGCTGGAATAATGGGTTTGTGGGAATTGGATTGTATCGGAGAAACTACATTTGCTGAGCCCGAGAGAGTAACTCCTCGAGGCTAGAGGATTGGGAAATTGCAATGGATTTGAGTCGGGGAGAAAAGGGAAATTCCACGAGTTTTTTTTTCCCGGAAAGGGAAATTTACCAAAAAGGGGGGAAAGGGAGGATTGCGGAAAAGATTGAAAAAAAAACCCTAAAGACAGAGATATCGAATGGGGAAAACAAACCTGAATAGCGCGATGGTCTTTGTGATAAGCAAGACAGAGAGAACAGAGAGCGCCATTCATGCAATCCAAGCAATACATATTGCATTCGCTCTTGTGGGAATCGGCATGGAACTTGCATTGAACAAAGAAGCTTTCTCTGAGGAGAGGTTTCAGCCATGGCGGCCACCTATGGTCTTCTTCATCAGGACCCTACTCCCAAGAAGAAAAAACCCCATCAGAATACAATCCACCATTAAAACAAACAAAACCCAGATTGGGAAAACGAAAAAACAGAGAGAATGATACCATGATTCTTCTACTCTTGGGCTTGATTTCACGAACAGTGGCTTCCTGGTCCTCGATAGCCAGCTTGAATGACAAAGTGGAACAGTCCTTTGAAGAGGGAGAATGGATGTTGAAGTGCGTGTAGAGAGAAATAGAGAGAGAGAGAGAGAGAGGAAGAGGAGGAAGTCGTTCTTATCTGCAAAAAGTCTAAGCCGAAGCAAAAAGGTCCGAAGCCGAAGCAAAAGGGGAAGATGCGTTGGGCGCAAGGAACTCTTCTCCTTCTTTCCTTTATAAATTTCCCTTTCATTTTCCTTTGCTTCGGTCTCATCGCATATTCCAATTATTTTAATCAATCCCCCACCCCCGCTTTATTATTATTATTATTTGGGTATTACCACATAATTTCAACCACTGATTATTTTATTTTGCATCATTATTTCACTTTCAAAATCTCCCCCTTCAACTTCAAATTGTGTTTCTTTCTTTGCTTGCCTCGCCAGAACAATTTCCGGCGATCGGATTCTTCAACTTCTCCGGCCACCAAAAACTCCCACTCTCTCGAGTTGGGGAATCAGAAAAAAAAAAGAAAAAGAAAAAAAAGGTTAGGGGATAACCTAACATTTGGATGGACAAAACATCAATTTATGACGTGTTTCTCCATTTGTCTTTATGCATCAATTACTCTACCCTTTTTTCTTTCCAATCAAATTTTCCATATTTTATATAATTCTTTTATTTAGTACATTATACTAAATATAAAATCAATAATAAATGTGGTTGAGAATGAGATTAAAATTCTTATGTTAACTATATGAAGAAAAAGTCATAGATATATGAGTTAGAAATATTTTCATTAACATTGGACATTTTATTTGAAACTAAAAGTAGAATTATAAAGATTTATATTCAAAATAAACAATATTGATCTAAGAAATATGGAAAAGTTTAGTATTTCTAACAAATGTGTTATGATATAATGAATACGAGATTACCAATATAAATGAATATTCAAATAATTTGACTAATCAATACTTTAACTATTAGACCTGCAATCTATTGTTCTGTTCAATAATAAAAAAAAAAGTGAAAAATATTTTTGCCTCTTTAATTTCATATTTGATGTAATGCACAAAATACTAACCCAAGATGTTAGTTGTTTTGATGATTACTGCGGTTAGCTTCTTCTTATAGAATCGCTTTGGCAAGCATAACAAGTATTTTATTTTAGTTTTTAAAATTTGGTTAGAAATTTTAAATAATTTTAATAAATTAATTATTAAAATAAAAAATATAATTCTAGTCATATGTTATTATTGAAAGAGGGGATATTAGATATTATTCTCTCTCATATATTATTGATTCAAAGTTGCGGTCCTATTCAATATTATGACCTTATTTTGGGAAGCCATTTTTGGAAGTATATATTTGTTTTCATTCTTACAAATGAAAAAATATTGAATCTCTTTGGTCAAATAACCAACCAACAATTTCATTATCTAATTTTTAATTATATCATTCCCCATTAAATAATTAATAAAATAAAAAGCATTGCTACCTAATGCAATTTGATATGTGGAGGAAGATAGATTTCAGAAAGATTAGCTAGGTTGTTTGAGCTAGACAAACTTGTACCAAATTTTGATGAGTTTTTCCTTTAATATATGAGCTACACATCAGTATTCACTTCATCACCATTATCATAATCTTAAAACTATTTGTCATCTCTCACTTAATAATATAGAATTTGGTCCAACAAATACAATTGGAAAGTAGGATATTGTAATAGTGATCAACTAAAGTTTGAGAAAACTTGATTTATAATCTATATTTTAAAAAAATGTTTGTTTGATTACAAAAATGACCAATTCCACAAAGTTCAGATCATTTGGATGAAACCAACAAACGAGAGAACCCACACAGAGAGAGTATAAAGATCCCATGTTCAAGTTATTCTCGATCCGATTTATACCCAGTACGAGAATAGTCTCATGTACCTGACTAATGAGGCAGGACTCTTATCTATAGAGGTTGAACTTCCAACATTGGTTACGACAATCCCATAAATCACAACGCTTTAATGGAGAAACGGTTTGCAACAAACAATATAATAATCATTAGCTCGTCTCTTACGAGGGTGAGCTGTTGAGATCCTTATTGATTGGTTTGGGCTTTAAAAAGTTCCAAACGACCAAATGATAATAATATCGGCTCTACCTTTAAGAAGTAATTTCGAGCTGCCTATCAAAGATTTGGTCTCCAAAATTGGGTGATTAATATTACTTGTAACCTTCCAACCTAATAAAATATTAACACGTAGCTTATCCAAATTCTCTCTAATAATGTTAATTCATAAAAAGATGGATTTATTTTTTCTTTATTGAATTATGTCCCCAAATAATGGGGATTTGCTTTGGAGAACATAAATAATGGCTGATCGCTCTTTTGAAGGCATGTGAGATTGGGTATCTTGCAATCACAAGCCTTAGGATTAGGTAACAATGATTTAAAAAGTCATATGTGCATGTTTTTTAAAATAAAAAACGAAAAACAAAAATAAAAATGGTGAAACTTTAAAATTGAATTGACATTGGGCAGATGGAAGTGAAACAATTGGGCAAAGACATATTCAAGGAAGACAGACAGATGTTAGGAGTCAACTTATTTGAATGTTTGGTCTTGAAAACAATTCCATAATGTCCTTAAAAATTAGTACGTACGTGGGCATTTTGTTGAATTTTGGACCTTCTTTTTTCTGGACAATTTCCCCTACTTAACATCCACCCCAAAACCCTAGGTCACAAATGCTCCATTATTTTTTTCAAGAGATTTCTTAATGCAAAAGAATGTGATCATGAATTTATTAGATACTCATTCAATGACTATAAAAGTTGGATCGATCCTCCAACTTCAAAGATAGAAGTAAGGTGATTTAACAGTAAGTTAGGTTCTTATCGTCCCTCTTCTAAATTGCAAATATTTATATGCACAACTTAGGATGACTCAATCACTCCCTGAAGTTTAAGACTGAATTTTGATTTGTTTTTTCAACCATCAAAACTAAGAAAATACCAAATACTAATGCATATTTGGCTATAAACTAGAGTCTCAATAGTTTTTATGAAAAATAGTCTTACTTATTATTTGAATTGTTAGCAACCTGATGTTGCTATGGAGAAGAACATAAAGCTAAAAATGTTAAAAAAATTTAATTTTACAGTTGAATTTTTTTAGTACAATAATATGAGGATACATATATTTTTTTCTTAGTACAACATGTGAGGGCGGTGGGGATCGAACTCACAACCTCTTGGTTGGAGGCATATACCGATTACACTGAGCTATATTCACTTTGGTACAAGGATACATATTTTTAACCATGGAGTTGAGTCGAGTCATGTTTTAATTACAGATCAACCAATTGAAATGCTTCAACCTTTTCCCTATTTTTCACTACAATAGCATGTATTATATAATCAATTTTTGTTTCTATTCTTCAAAATTATAAATAGAAAGTATATATATACAACTTAACCAACATATCTTTAAACAAAGGGTGGCAGAATTAATTAACAGATGAATCCAGAGGATCCATGACATTAAACTTCTGAGTAATTACACAATTAATATAATTATTTTATCAGACAATTAATGCTGTCGCATTGAATTAGTACAACATTTTAATTAATTATAAATATTTGTGATTCCTTTTCTTTTTTCTTTGTTTGGATGTAAATTGTAATACAGCAATGGAATCTTTCTGAATATAACAAAAGTCGAATTTCAAATACCATCTCAACTTTATACTTTTAAACAAATCAACTTTACACTACCAATCAATTTAAAGTTTAAAATTTCACATGAAATTATGACATCGCCATTGCGACTGATTTAGCATGAAACCTAATCCATACATTAGTTATAAACATCCACCCCCTATTTTAGAGGGAAAAAAAACAATTTTTTTTTTGGCAAAGGAAAAAAAATTCTATTTTTTACAAAACTAGTTATAACTATCTACCAAAAAAAAACTATATATGAGCACTTTTAATTCGCTTTCACATCTCGTAACTTTATTATATCTCATTAATGACATTGCATTTTTATTGTGTTTAAATATAATATCTTTTATATATATATATATATTTATTTATTTATTTGGCATGCTTTGTCCATAAAAATTATTCAAAGTCTTGCATTTTATTTCTTTATTGATCCTGGTTGTACTAATTAAATACATTGTATTATATTTTGATTTGATAGTATTTGCCAAAATTTAATTTAACGTATCAAATTAATAGGATTTTTAATATATTTATATTAGGTAGATTAATCAAATATGTGAATTTCATAACTTTTATTTGTTGCACTCTTAAGTTTTGTTGCTTTTGTTTTCCTCTCCTTTTTCACTAAAGAGGCAGGATTTGAAAGGAGCCTGCTTCAGAAAAAGAAACAAATAATAATTAAAAAAGAGATTTGAAAGGAGTGAAAGAGTGGATTAAGAAATAATTTGAGTATAAACCATGGAAACATTCCTGGGCAAACAATCATACCACAACTATAAAAGAAAAAGAAAAAGAAAAAAAGAAAAAATCATTCTCTACCAACACAATAATTACCTTGTTGATAACAAATTAATTATTGTCTTAAAAGAGCACTATTTACTAAGTAAGCATTATTGTTTTCATTCTTTAACTCCATTAAAATTAAAGGTCGGTTTAGTATATTTTTAAAATAATAAAAAACTATTTTTATTTTTCAATATATAGTTACATAATAAATTTTTTTTTGAAAACATCACACAAAATGATTAACCCTCTAAAAATTGCTCAGCTATTGTAATTGCAACATTTCTTTGTCCAAAATAGTACATTAATTTTACCTAAAATACAAATATTTTGAAGCACAAATTCTTAACTTGTAGCTTTCACTCAAATTGAGGCATCTCATTTATGGATAACAATTCTAAAATATGTCATTTTTGTCTCTATAAATAAAATTATCCTGTTTCATAATTGCATTATTTTCTAAAAAGACAGTCACTAAATTTAATCATAAAAGATATATATTGACACCACCGAATAAAATTATAACATTATTCGTCCTTTGAAAATATACCTACTCTAAAATTTAATTCAAGTGCCAATAAAATACGTAAAAAAACAAAAATTGTTGGTTTTGATCAGCTCAGGCCC